GAAATGAAGTTCCACTTTAAAGGAAAAACAAAGCCAACCTACTTAGTGAGGCTTCTCGCCAAGAAGCTGGTTTCATGTTTAAGCAAATGTTCCTTGGAGCAAACCAGAGTCCCGAGGACCTGGATTCCTGTCCCAGTTCTGACACTTCCTCGATAGGTGATCCTGACCAATGCATGTCTCTTCTGAATTTTAATTTCCTCCTCAGTCAAATGAGGCTAGCTATACTGGCATTACCTGTTTCACAGAGTTGGGAGATCAGTGAAAGTATAGGAAAGTACTTTCCAAACCCCTATTTTAGGCCCCTGACCCCAGCTGATTGTTCCAAAGGGATCATCACCAAGGACGAAGCTTGAAGGTGGGTGAGATAGGATGCTGATAGTTCAGTGGAGGGGTTATTTGTCCTGGCTGAAGGCTAATCGCCTGGGGAAAAGGGAAGGCTATGATTTCATGTAAGTATGAATAATATAGCTGAAGCCTAGCTTGGTTTACACGAAGTGGAACAGCAGTTTTCCACGGGGAGGCAGAAACAGCTGATTTTATTCAATGGGTCTGCTGGTTCCCTAGGGAGCTCAGGGGAGAAATGAAGCAGCAAGCTTTACCTGCCAAGAGGGAGAGCTTTCTGGCAATACCCCAAACTTTCAAGCCTACAGACACTGAATTTAGCTGAAAAACCTGAAGGCCTGAGCATTTGGATATGTAGGTGAACCCAAGACTGGAAAGAAACTGTCTAATTACAGCAGAGTTTAGAGTTTTAGTGAGTTCAGTCCTCCTACAGGCCTTATATATCTGGTGCACTGACAGAAACTTCAGCTTCACAAAGGGTCCTGAAGCTTCTGAGGACACCAAGTCAGCACAGTGCAATCAAGAGTTATAGGTTCAAATGCTGCCTCTGTGGCTTACTATCTACCTGACTTTAGGCAACTCCCATGTATTTTCAGACAAGGAGACAGGCTAAGTCCAGGTCACCTGCTGAGCCCCTGGTAAAGCCAGAACAAGAACTTGGGTCTCCTTTCAATAAGTCCTACGTGGATAGAGAACCAGGATCTCATAAGGCAATGAGTTCAACCCCTGAGTCAAGCCCGAGACCATTCTGGACAAGTGGTCATTCAGTTTCCTCCTTTCCTTCCTTCTGGACTCAAAAAGGAGCAAACTCTGTCTGTAGCTTTCTCCAGATTCCTGGCACCAAAAGAAAGAGGGCATGGTAGTTTCTATGTCAGAACTTCAGCTCTGGGCAAAATGGCATGTAAAACTGGATGTTTAATGGAGGCTTAGAAATAGAAATGATGGGGATGAGTCCATAACTCTAAGTCGCTAGAAGGAGAAGCATTGGGTTCAGGTTCCTGAGGTTTCAGAGTAGGCCACAGGACCTAGTAAGATGATGCCCTAGAGTGTAAAGTGTACTGGATTCAGGAACAGGGAACTGTGGTTTGAATCCTGCCCTGCCACTTCTGACCCTGGGCAAATAATGCAGCTTCAGACCCGAGTTTTCTCGTCTGTATCTGTAAAGAGAGATAATTAGGTTGGATGATTTTTAAAGTTTCTTACAGTTCTAAATCTACGACCCTATGAGCCTACCTTCTGCGCTCAGCATCCTGGGGGTCTGTGCCTGGGAGGCTAATGGTGATGGAAGAAGGAGCCCCCACATCATAGCGCTTCACAGTCTTTCTGCAGACCTTCACCTTCACGAGGAGACTGTGCACCAAGTTTGCCACCAGGGCCACAACAGGCTGCAGGATTTCGGGGAAGAAGGTGGCAAAGGCAAAGTGGTCCGACATATCCCCCCTGCCCCGGCTGTGGCGCTGGTAGAATCGCAAGTACACCCAGCCCGAGAGCACCCCAAAGCCATAAGAGGCCAGGGCACTGCTTTCCACCAGAGGAGTGAGTCGCAGCAACACGAGGGAGATGAGCAGCAGCATGGGCATCACCCGCATCCGCACCTGGGGCACCTTCAGCACCACGCTGTCCCCCATGGTCTGTTTGAGGGCCACCAGGACCCCGCCCAGGAAGCCCAGCACCCCGTGGATGCGCACGGTGAAGAGATAGGCCAGGTTGAAGGAGGCCATGTAGGTGAGGAGGTAGGCGAAGGCCCCCAGCAGCCCCACGGATACGTTCACCACGGCGAAGAACACGAGCAGCTCCAGGGCCCCCCACAGTGGCTCCAGCAGCTGGCCGGCCGCCACCACCGTGGCCAGGCTCAGGACCACGTCCCACACGTGCAGCTCCACCAGCCCGTGCGTGGCCAAGGTCCAGACCCAGAAGTTGGGCGGGAAGAGGTAGCCGGGGGTGACGGCCAGGCCCACGCCCGTGTCCAGCGCGAAGGACAGCAGGTAGAGGAGCAGCACCGAGGCGCACAGGGCCTTCACCACCACGCTGGCGCTGGCCAGGGCGGCTCCCAGGGGGAGGCGGGCCCCGGCCCCGAGCGCCAGCCCGGGCCGCTGCGGCTGCTGCATCTTCCGGGGACTGCGGGCCGCGGCCGGGGGCCTGGCCTAGAGAAGGGGCCGGGCCCCCGGGCCCGCTGGGGGCCCCGCGCGGGCCGGGCCGGCTCTGGCCTCAGGCCGCGGCCTCCCCCATCCGCCCCGGGTCGGCTCGCCCGCCCGCCACCGGGGGGCGCCCTTCCCGTCTTCCTCCGCGGGGCCGGAGCTCAGCGCTGAGGACCCCCGAGGAGCCTGGGTATAGGCTGGAGGCCGCGTCCACCCCCGTCGCTGACACCGCCACCGGCTTCCCTAAGGCCGCGGCCTCCTCCACCGCCACAGCCGCAGCCGCCCCCGACTCCTCCGGGGCCGACAAACAGGGTACTGCGCCTGTGCAACGGGAGCGCGCCGCCCCGCGTCTCTCCTCCCCGAGGCACCACGGGACTTGTAGTCCGCGTCCCGGTGTGAGGCGGCGAGGACGGCGCCTGCGCTGGTTGGACCGCAAGCAAGGGGCATGTTGGGAGTTGTGGTTCTGGAGCGGGCAGTGAGGGGCGGGGCGGGGTGGAGAGAGAGAGGAGGTCCGACTCTCTCTGAGTCAAGCCGTTTCTCCGACAACCTAAAGGAGACTTTGGGGCACCTGAAGGCCTGCCCTGGGCCTGGGACGGCGCAATGGCAAGGGGAGTCGGACCTGGGCAGGTTGCCTGGAGCAGGTGGGCAGGGTGATGCGCACTCACCACCCACCTTGCCCCAGGCTCAGCTCCTTAGAGGCCTCAGGGATGGAGGGGGCCCCCGAAGCCTTTCTCCGGCCTTCCGTGGGGAAGAAGGGACGGGGTTAATAATGGCCTGTTCTGTTGCGCTCCCTGCCCCCAGGCCAAGGATCGCGCGGCGCCCCGGGTCTCAAGGGAAGGGGCAAGACAGTGGGACGTCCAGAACTTGGCAGCTCGGAAGCAGACGGTGGGAAGTGGGGGCGGGAGGACCATCTCTGCGGCAAGGGACAGCAGAAGATTGTCTTTCCCCCAGATTTGCTGGGCACCAAGGACTTAGTTTGAAGTTGGGATTTTTCCCATCAGACCAGCGACTCTATGAGAATATGTTTTTTCCGTGTCTTTTCAAGGGGCGCCTAAAAGTCAGGGATGTCTCTCGATTCTCAGATCCAGAACAGGAGGATTTTGGAGTATTGCTTTTCCCATGAGAGCCTTTTCCCTTCCCCCTCTCTCCCCTTATCCCCAGCCCCAGACTTTGGGAAGACAGCCCTACAAATTAGAGGTGGGTAGGTGGGTGGGGGTGAAGATGGTGGGATGGAAAGGGAACGATTTGAAGTGAAAATATGAACATTATTTAATAACTGATTTTTTTTTGTAATAAACCATTTGAAAATATTTTACAAGGAATCACACACACAATATTTTACAAAGTTTCTCATCTTTTTTGTCGCTTTTGTATCCGACTTGTCTGTACAAAAAAAAAAAACCGAAACAAAACAACAAAGAAAAAAGGAAAAGGCCCCTGGCACCTTCTCTTTCCCACCCTCTCCCTTGGCCTGGTTGGGAGAGGGAGAAGCAGGAGAAAGGAGGCCTTGAGCCAGATGGGAGATGAGCTGAGTCAGACCCAGTTGCTGTTTGGACAACTACCTGGTGGCTTTTGTTTAGTTTTTTTCTGTTTTTAAACTTAAAATATATATATATATATTATATATATTTATTTATATTTCTGTATACGCCTTGGTTTCCTTGTTTTTTTTCTTTTTTTTTCTTTTTTTTAAATTCTCCAGTGAGCACCTGACTAAACTACAGAATTACACACACTCCCAAGACACAGCTGGCACGCGAGTGGGTGCCAGCATGGACCAACACACACTAAGAAAGCAACAAGCAACAGGATCATTAATTAATGAAGCATTAATTAATGAATCATCCCTTCCCCCCCTCCTTTCTACATCTTAGAGGAAACACCTCCCCCCCTCCCCCCTTGCTCTTTAGTGACCTGCCCCTCCCCACACTGGAGGATTTGGGGAATGGAATTGGAATGCACTGAACCCCCCAGCAACCTGCCCCAGGCCCTGCCTGACAGTGTTCGTGTGTGTGTAGGGGATGGGGTAGGGAGGGCATGGTGTCCAGCTCTGAGGACTGGCCATTTTGGCCTCAGTGTAGATCACTGGATGGTGGGGGGGCACCTGTTCAGGGTTTGGGGAGAATGTACACAGGTGCCAGGCTGAGGGGGTGTGGCCTTGGGTGTGAGTTGGGGGGTCGGGATAGTCCCTTCAGTGTCTTTTCTGCTGAAGTCACCCCTAGGAAAGCAGGGCCAGAGTGAGAAGGGGGATATGGAGCCTAAGAGGATTGCCTGCATGAATGGGGAGGGATGGAGTGGCACTGGTCAGAAGGTGCTCTTGAGGGCACAAGTGGCATGGCACAGCAGCCAGGCAGATGATGAGTGCTGTGTGGGTAGTATCCTACCTGCTCCCTTGCCCAGGTGTGGCCAGGGCACCTAGGCTGAGGTCTGGGCGGAGTCTGACAATCTGTGTAGGGCCGGTGTGTGTGTGTGTGTGTGTGTGTGTGTGTGTGTGTGTGTGTGT